GAGAGAGAGAGAGAGAGAGAGAGAGAGAGACATTTCCGTGAGGATTATGAATCACACGTCTGGCGATTATACCTTGGCCGTTTCTGTCTCTTCTGGCCCGCGGAAATTGTTGCTCTTAATTGTTTTCGCTTCGCGATCGATCGTGAATTCTTGCGAACAGTTAACGCCATTGATCGGCCACTGTCGGCTTTAACGTTCAGCCGCTAAAGGTTGTATCGAGTGACAGGGTGCAGTTTATCTCTCTTCGGCGGTAAATAAGAAAGGAGATTTATTTTGCTATCGGATTTACATCTCCCGCGTACATAGGACGCGGTGACGAATCGTTTTACCGTTTGGCACGATGCAACTTAAGAGGCGAACGCATCTCTCGCGCGCACCTGCGCCGAGAGAATCGAGTTTATTCCGTCTGCTGAAGCGGAGAAATCCGAGACTAGGTATTACGTCGATTAACCGCGCGCGGGACGAAGCGCGGACGTATGGCCATATGAAATTACGTAGATGCTTACCTCGCTGCTGGTGTTTACCGACAATAAGCCTTTTATGCAACGCACGCGCGTCGCGAAATTCTTCACCCGGCTCGGAAAATTCTCGTCGTTCGATCCTCGCGCGATAACGAACGCCTCTGTTCAATGACGACGCTTTTACGAAACGAATCGTCGTTTCCTCAAAAGGAAACCATCCATCTAAAGCTTTAACTACAGACACAGATTTCAAAATAATTTTAATCAACTATTAAAATATAAATTTAAACTAGTTGCTAAAATGTCAAAATTTTTTGCTCATCCTTGAAATTTCTACGATACTTTGATAATTAATCTAACAAAATTGTTTCTTTTATATTGTAAAATCGTGTTAACGGCACTGTGTGACTCAGTGATACACACATTTTTTTAATGTTCGTTTTTTTTCCCTTCCTCTGCTCAAGTATAGTACAACGATGATTATGTTTCTCTCTATCTTTATTCTATAAAGCGAAACATGTGCGAGAGCGAAAAAAAAATGAGTGAGTGAGTGAGAAGGGGGAAAGGAATGAAGAGAGGAAGAAATAGTCTCGGTGAGGAAAGCAGCTTCTCAAGGGGTTGCCCGTTTATTTTCAGATTGTGCGCCCAGTGAAGGGGATCAACGTCGGTGCAGAAACAGCACGCCCCTGCCACTTCCCGGCTCGCTTACCACCAACGGAGAAGGTAACTATGTCTTCAAGGTTATACGTACCCTATATGTTCACCGACCCCACGATGAGAGATGTATGGGATGTCTCCCGTTGAGTCACTCTAACGATAATGGATTGTTGAAATTTCGACGTGAAATTTTGAGAAAGTAAGATGATCCGTTTCTCGTCGTGTCATACCCACATTTTTTTTCTCTTTTTATCTTCGAATAATCGTTCAAACCCCATTGGTCGATTCTCGAGATACCTCCGACTACGCCACTGATCGATGACTACACCTACATCCACGTGGTTAACCTTGATCGGCGCCACGATCGGTTTTCTTTTCTCATGCATTTCTTCCCTATCTGAAAGAAATAAGAGCGGGTTTAATTTTAAGCGAGCTTCATTCTCCTTCGAATTACGGCAGGTTGCAAGAGATAATCGCGATTCAATTTAATTTTACAGTTTCTAACACATACAGTTTTACTGTTCACTAAGGATTTGAATAAATTTTAGCTTCTCTCTTTTTCCATATTATATTTTCTACAAAAAAATCACTCGCATTCTATATTCTCTAAATTCTTCAGAATGAAATTTTTAGGATGGAATTTCACTCTGAAGAGTGAAAATTGAGCCAGTCTTTAAAAAGGATGGCTCAATTTTCATTCTTTAAGAGATTTACTCTGAAAGTTTTAGAGCGTACGGATAAAAACCATAGTTCTCACATTTTTTTATTTACAACATGCCTGTATAAAAGATAACGGCTTATCGCTTCCCAAGATTTTCTCGAAAGAACCAGACAATGTTTTACAATGTCGGGCGGCGTCGACCGAAGAAATTTCCTCAGCACGCACGTTCCTCCGGGCTGACGCGCACGTAGCTTTTCACGCATGACGCACCGCACGGATCGCGGACTCGTCGTTTTTCGGACCGCTCTCGGGCCGCGGCTCTCTCGCGTTGCTGCTTCGTGGAACGCCTGAAACGCTTTTGGCCCCAGCCAGCAGGAAAGTGAACGCGCTCTGCTCTCTCGTCGACTCGTACGACGATTACTCTCGTTTCTCCGCAACGTCGTTCAATAATTTTCTGTCGTTGCGCCATCGGACTGAGGATACACATTTTTTTCGAGGTGTAGACGAAAGTGCGAATGAATATTGGCGATAAAGAAATAATTTGCAAGAATAAAAGAAAAAAAATACACACAAGAAAATTAGTTATAATGATTAATGTACATCTATACGTATTTATTTATTTATTTATTTATTATTATTGAATTTATTTTAAAAGAATATTCCAATTATAGGCAGACTTTTTAGATTACGTTCTATGAGATGTAATTTGATCTGTAAGAGAATTAAGTGTTTATATAAGCGAATGACGACTTTGTTTATTCTCTTGATTGATAGCAAATTCCCATACCGGTAAAGAAAAACGAATTAATTATAATATTCGCGATGACAACACGTTGCGGCGAGTTTTTCTCTCGTGTGTCGGTCTTTTTATGTACTTTTACTGCCTTCGCCAATGCAAACGCCAATGCTGCTCTAACGACGTCAAACGTTCCCAAGTCGACAACAAATTGCGTCTGTGTCCGGCGCATCTTGCGATTTTACAAGAGTGAGTAAGAAACGATGCGTATATATGTTCACGCATTTAATCAGAGTAATCGTGTAGAACGCAATTTACTCCAGTAATTTCAGATTAAGAAAACGTCGTTTATATTATTATAAGAGTGTAAACTTTTAAAACAAATCTTTTGGATTTTTTCATTGGACCCTTTAAATTACATTTCAGATGCATATAAAAATTCTTAAATTACTAAATAACTATTAAGTTATTTTACTTTTTCTCTTTTAAATCTTTTTTTAATTTCTGACATTTATTTATAGTATTTTAATTTTTTACACGAGGCAAAAATAAAAAATTGAAATTATAAATAAAACACTAAAATTATATATCCGTTGAATAAAAAAATATGCTCGTATTTCTCGGATGGATTTGAAATTTCTGAGATTTTCTAGTATAGCATTAAAAAAATGCACGTTCGGCCTGTCGTCACAGCAGGCCATTTACCGGAAACGAGAATCATCCTGACGGGATTGCACTTTCGTCGGCTTAGCAAATGTCGCGTATATTCGCGGGATGTTGAGCGCTGCAATATAATACGCGAAGTGTGGAGCACCGAAAGGGATGACATGGAATCATAAACACGCGCGTAGTTGCCTTTTTATTTGAATCAGTTATAGATAGAACGCGCTGCTTCCGGGAGAGAACAGAAATATCAGGATTCGATCGAGCGTTTTCCAACTGACGCCGCGACCATCGAATCTTTTCAGAAGGCTTTTTCAATTCGGGAGGCTTCATTTATATTTCTTTTCATATAAATTCAGCAATAAATCACGATTAATTGTAATTTAAAAGTTACAAGAAGTAAACGTCCCAGTATTCGGATATGTTACGTCCAGGCATTTACACACGCAAGACTTTATATTATTATTAATCCCAAATGTGCTTTCTAAAATGTATTATAATTTAATTACAATCTACAAATACAATTAAATTATAATATTGTAATAAAAAAGCATTTGAAAAATTAATAATAATAAATTTTGTGTAAAGATAGAAAGTATATATTCAGTCACTGGAATATTTACCTTATAAAAAAATAAAGATATTTTTCACTATTATTATGGACGCAATTCGATAATGTTTTAATAATTTATTTATCAAACAATAATAATCCGTTGGTTAAAAAATTTTAACTTCGTGGAATACGGGCGATGGATCCATCGTCGATCCATCAAACGGTGCCGTACGTCGTCGGACGCAGGCTGCTGCATCTGCCGCAGGACGAGGGGAAGAAGAAGGCCGTGCAGGAACGCGGGTAGGAAGGAAAGAGAAGGGAAAAGCCGGCTCCCGGGATGCAGGCAGGTTTGAGAATGGCACGATAGGTCGGTCGGCTAAGGTGGGTGGCATTCGGCGCGACTGTTTGAGGGAACAGGGGGACCCCTGGCGCCAGACAGCTGCCGCGTGTCTCGACCTCGCTCGCGCTAGCTCGTTCGCCTGCCTCTCTCTCTCTCTCTCTCTCTCTCTCTCTTTCTCTCTTCTCTCCTCGCATCGTCTCGCCTCGCCTCGCTTCTCCAATACGTATGGATCGTACATGCATATGTTGTATGCACGTGTATGCGCCTACGTGCCCGACTTGGTCCGCTATTTTATTGATTTATTTTGACGCTAGGCTCTCTGTTTCTCTCTCTCTCTCTCTCTCTCTCTCTCCGTTCTGACTCTTTTTCTCTGTGCTGCTCGCTTTGGACGTCCGTCGTGCTGCCTTCGGCCGACGATCGATCGAAATGCGTCGGTCTCGTTTCTCGAGAATCTCGAGCACAGGGTTCCACTGACGAAGAAGACGCTTGTTGCTGAGCTTAGTTTCCAAGATTCTCGTAATTGATTCTGGAAATGTACTTAACTCCACGAATGCGCTTCATAATTCTTAAGAACTGAACGATAGAAATTCTAAATAAGATTTATCAAAAATTTATATATAAAAATATTTGTTTTTATTTATAGATACTGCGATTTTTTTTCATATTCTTACATTAGATAATAGCTTCGATGACTGGTTTCACGAGTATATTTGGAATATTCTAATTCGTAAAACTATTGTTTATTCAAGAATTTCATGATTCATTGCCATTAATGTATACATTATCGTATGATATAATCATATGAGATTTATGTTCTCTTCTCTCTTTCATTACGTCTCTTATATTCTTATTATATCTATTGTATTACTGTCATCACATTTTCATCACGTTATTCATATTCAACTATTCTATTGTCTCTTATAAAAATTGTCAACGCCGAGCAAGAACGCGACTACCGGCATAGTCAATTATCTCTCGCCTTCCCGATTCGCGCAAGTACGAAGCTCTCGGTTTCCGCGCTTGCACGACAATAAATTGTCCTCCTACGTACGCGACGCGGCTCGACTCTCGAATGTGTAGCTCGCGAATATCTTACCTACGACGCAGTCGTAGGTTCGGGGATTGCAACATGTTGCGTGTGGGTGCTGCTGTCCCGCGTCGCATCGGAGTTGGAGGAGAGGCACGTGGATATATCCCGACGTACGGTGAAAGCAACAGGTTGCTCGTGTCCATTCCTCTCCTCCGCTGCGACGTCGCGTCGGGTCCGGAGCACCCTTCTCCGCATCCCTTCTCAATGGGGCGAAATACTGGCTGGCGCCATCCCTTGGTACGATAGCCGAGGTAAACAGACGGACCGTTTCCATTCATCCCGGAACGACTTTTCTGAATTGGAATCCCGTCGAGGTCGTCGGTCCTTACTCTCGATAACAAAAGCATGAATATACAGCGTCTCGTAACTTTTACTGTGTCTGCGTCGAATCAACTGGTGCAACGTTCGCCTCTGGGCGAATCTTCGGAGAAGTTAAATTGCCTTTTAAAAGCAAATATCTTATTTTGCAATTAAGGCTTAAATTACTATTAATTAAATTAACATTTAAATCTGTGTGTTTCTAGCATATTTTTTAACTGTACGGGTTAATTAATATGGAACACTTTTCATTTACATCAAATATACCTTATAACTTTTTTTATGGATAAATAATTCAAAATGTTATATGGTCGTTGCGCAACTTTTTTAATATATACGTATAATATATGCGTAACGACAATATAACGACATTAAGAGCTACTGAATACCGGCTCAGGTCACAACAAACCATGTACCTTTCCGTTTTGGTTTCAAATATAGTTGCATCTCGTACGTTACAAAGTATATTATTTGCGTTGCTCGCACTTGTACTCAGAACCTTCGCTTTCTCTCTCTCTCTCTCTAACGCCCTCATTTTTGTCTTAAAATATTACAAAGTAACGATCGTCGGTTTTGGGACACGCTGTATATTTATCTCGTTTTAAGTGCAAAATGTTTTTTTGGGATTTTAAGCAACGCGTTGAACTAACTCATGTGAGAGAATCAAGGTCGCTACAGTCTGGCGGAGAAGCCGGATCGAAGTTT